AGTCTCCTGGACTTTGTGTGACTTTCTTCTACAGTCACTCACCTTCAGATGGCTTTTAAGGCCAAGTTTCCCAAACTCCAATGGATTCAAGTCAGGCTATTGCAGTTCTTCTCTGGAATCCCTCTCTTATGTGGGACAGGGGAGAAAGAAAGCTTCAACTCTCTCCAGATAGATCTTCATTACCACAGGCCCTTCAACCTCCACCCTTAGTCCTCTCTCACACTGTGCACAGGTGGCTAGCAAGCTAGTGGCCACCCTTTTTACAAGTTTGGAGAAGTAGTCTGGCATCCTGACTTAACACGTGGGGGCAGTTGAGAATGGTTAATACCTATCTTTCTTTACCTGACCTTTTAAGGCCTCTGTCCAAATTTTGAGATGGCAAGAGTTCCCTTTAACATACTGTCACCTACAAAAGGACACTGACATGGTGCTTGACATCTGGTGGACGTTCACCAAGAAGCATGTTGGTGTAGTGCCAATCACCCAGGATGAGTCAATCCAATTTCTGAAAATGAATGTTTTAACCCTCTTCCTCTAAGTCAGAGTGAAGGAGAGTTTGTACCCTTGGGGATGCTTTGAAAGGCAGTTAACAAGTCTTCTGTCTGCCAAATCTATATGTCAGTTCCCAAAACAACACTGAGGCCAGTAGCTGCTGTGTCCATGCCCATCCCAGATCCACACGCAGTGACAAATCACAAGGCCAAGAACATGGGAAGGGGGGAGAAATGACCCAAACATTGTATGCACATATGAACAAAAGAAATTAAAAAAAAAAGGCCAAGAACATCGACTTAGCTGATCATTCAGTGGGGCAAAGGAGGGAATTGAGCCCTTCCCTGTTCTGGGTGTACCCGTGGTGTACACGAATGCAACCATTATATCTTTACACAGGGTACACATGCAGTTATCTTCCTTAAGTTCAAAGTTAGAAGTTAGATGAACTTGGAAAATATGATTGGCCCAGTGTGGGTAACAACATAGTAGGGAAGCAAATTTTTTTCTTGGCCTCTGTTTTAGTCTTTGTGTCTTCTTTTCTTTGGGTGTTAGCTATCACAAGTGGCACTGGAAGGGATTAAAGGGGACACAGGCACAGGCTCAGAGCAAAAAAGTTCCCAGATGCAGGACTATATTGCAGTCATCATTTTCCAGGTTGAGAGAGTTCCAATAAAAAACACATGGTAGGGACTGGCAAATTGTTTCCATATGGGATCATATAATTATTTAGGCTTTGTAGGCAATATGGTTTCTTCACAGTGACTTGACTCTGCTCTTATAGCACTATAGTAGCCATAGGCAAGTTGAGTGTATAGCTCAAGAGGTAGAACACTTGCCTAGCAAGTTAGAGGCCCCGGGTTCAATCCCCAGTACCACCACTACCACCACCAAAAAAAAAAAAAGAAAAAAAAAAGAATGATAGGCAATAATAAGCAAATAAGTATGGTTATGTTTCAATAAAATTTTATTTACAAAGAAAGGTGGTTCATCACTGGGCACCAGTGGCTCATGTCTGTAATCCTAGCTACTCAGGAGGCAGAGATCAGGAAGATCAAGGTTTGAAGCCAGCCTGGACAGATCGTGAGAGCTTATCTTGAAAAAACTCAACACAAAAAAGGGCTGGCAGAGTGGCTTAAAGTGTAGGCCCTGAGTTCAAGCCCCAGTACCGAAAAAAAAAAAGTTTCATGCACTTTACTTTACAGGCCCTTATATAGAGTATTAAAAAAAAACCAAAAACCAAAAAACCCTGGTAGCCAGCCAGGATGGTGGCTCACACTTACAATCCTAGCTACTTGGGAAACTGAGATTGGGAGGATCGTGGTTCCGGCCAGCGTGGGTCATGAGACCCCATCTCAATGGAAAAAAGCTGGTTGAGGTATGGTGTGCCTGTCACCCTGGCTAGGACAGGAAGCAAGGTTGGACTGGTAAAAAAAACAAAACCCTATTTCCAAAATAACCAGGGCAAAAAGGGATGGAGGTGTTCCTCAAGTGGTAGAGTCAACTGCCTAGCACAAAGGCCTGAGGTCAAACCCCACATACAGCCAAAAGCAAAACAAAACGAACATCACCAGCAGCCATCAAGGTTGGCTTTGCAGATCGTCCAGGGTTTGGTTTTGGTTTGTTCATTTGTTTTTTTGGTGGTTCTGGAAGTTGAATTCAGTACATTGCTAGGCAGGTGCTCTACCACTTAGCCATGCTTTGCTTTGATTTTTTGAGACAGGGTCTTGCTATATAACCCAGAATGGTCTGAAACTCATAGTTCTCCTGCCTTAGCCTCCTAAGTGCTGGGATTACAGGCGTGTGTCACATGCCAGTTCTGTCAAGGGTTGATAGGGCTCCATTCTGCTTCTTCCAGAAAGGTTGAGAATCAATTATTTTTTATATGTGGCATCAGCTTTCCTCTATTTTGTTCTGTGCTTTGGTGTTTTGGTGTTCTGAATGAGTGATGTCAAACCTTCCTTTTTGTCCCCCTTTTCTCTCTCTCACTCTTTCTATATCTATATGTATCTATCTATCTATCTATCTATACCCCATTCTACCTTCTGCTCCCTTGATCTTATGGTGATTCTAGAATGAAGTTTTTTTCTCATTCATCCTTGCTATAATTCTTCATCTACTAGGCACTTCATCTACTCTTCCTCTACTCTGGGGTAAGATGTGATCTCAGTAGTAGAACACTTGTCTGTGTTTCTGGGCTGCTGTGTGACTTCGGGCAAATTACCTAGCCTTTCTGAGCCACACTCCCCTCATCTGTCAAATGGAGCAGTTGACTAACTGGCCTCTAAAATCCCTTCTAGCTGTAAGTCTGTGGTTTTAAGAAGCTGCAGCCTTAACTCTATATAGCTATCCGGGGGCCATTAATCCAGACATCACTCACAGACTTTAATGAAACTTCCAGAAGACCATTAGGAATTGATACATATGATCTTGTAGCAGGCAGCTTCCCTAAGACCAGCAAACTTCAGAGAATCTGAGATCCCATTGCCAAGGGGAGAAGACAAGAAGTGACTCTTGGAACCCTGTGCTCCTGGGAAATTAGTTTTCTAGACTGCCATTGTGATAGCTAAAAAATGCACATGTACTTGACTCAGAATCAAAGCTCAAGGAGAAACTGTTGGGAGGTGAGACTCTTTCCCTTCTCCACCAGACCCTCTATGTGGGGGCTCTTCTGGCCGTAGGAAAGATAATCCTCCAAGGCCACCAAAGAAATATATGACCTGGTCAGGAGGAAATGGGGCTTTGAGGAGTTAAAGCAATGAGTGAGCATTGTGTCAGGCAAAGGCGTCTTCTGCAAGAGTTCAGGGAACGGGGGACCCAGAACGTTGGCTGAGGCAGGGCTGGCAGAGGCTGGCAGCTCAGGAGAGTTTTGTGACATTGTTCCCATGCTCTCAGGCTCATGTCATGATGCAGACCAAGTGAGCAGAAGGCTGGAGCCCTCTTCCTCTCTCCTGGACACGAGGGGTGGGGAGGGAAGGAAGAAGTCCATGTTCTAGCCTCCAGGAAAGCAGGCTTTTATTATCTAACTGCTAAAGCTGTCTCATTTGTAGCCTAAATAATTCACTCACCCATCTCTCAAGAAGCATTAGGAGAAAAACAAAACCAGCCCCAACTCTGGGCTCAGGTTTCTACAGCTTGGAGAGCAGGAGGCTGGCAGGCCATCCCAGGCCACCAAAAGTTCCCTGAAGTTGACCAGGGTCTGATTTTTTTTACAGGCCTGGGGCTAAGAATGGACTTTGCATTGCATTTCTGAAAGGTTTTGTTTTGTTTTAAGAAAACAAGTAATGAACAAGGAAAAATATGCAACATAGTCTGTAAAAAACATATTGACCAACTGGTTCGTTCCAGAAAAAGTTGCCAACCCTTTAGTCTGTCCTCCAGCCTCCATTCTCCAGCAATGAAGGCGGCAATGACAGCCTTGGAGCCTTGACTTGGCCACCCGATCCCATGACCCCAACTATGTGCAGAGATTTTAGTAGTTAGAGGTCTGATATTTACAGTCCAGTGAACTGCTATCATTGTTCACTCCATTAACTAAAAATAAAAACAAAAAAGTACAGTAAGGTGGGGTGGGAGAGAGGGGAACATGTTTTCCTTCTACCCTGTGAGAAAGTACACAGAGCAGGAGGGACTGAGAGGCCCCAAACATTCCTTGATTTGCCTTCTCTGAACGTCAGAATTTGGCATCATCGAGTTGCTCTCTAATGACTCCCAACTCCCTAAGGCCTTTGTAAATCACCATGGCATCCCTGAGTCATCTAGGGTACCAACCTGACTGTGTTGACCCACAGGGGGCTTTGAAGGGAGAGGACCCTGACCAGTCCTAACCACCCCAGTCTCTCTCCTGGAGCCAGAGAGTTACAGTCTAAAGACCCAGAAGAGAGAGGCCAGAGTGGGGAGTGTAATGCCAGCTCAGTGCAGAGAGCCCCAGCTGCAACAAGGCTGAGCAACCTTCTGGCTTGTCATGGAGCCTGTGGGTGCTGAGGGCAGCTGGAGACAAAGTGTCCCCAGATCTGGTGTGTGGAGATTCTGGATTATTTCTAATAAAACAGTGACCTTGGTCAAAGTTCCAGTGCTAGCATCTTCTAAGAAGGTGCTCTCCAGCCAATATTTTGTAGGGTCCTGGATGTGAGACAATTAACACCAAAGGTTGGAATCCCAACATCCACACTAGTGAGAGGCAGCAGTCTTAAAGATTTGGGAGCCTAGGCTGTGAGAGCTTGGGAAATCACTTCATCATTCTGGGACTCAGTTTCCTCATCTGTTCAAACAAACAAAGAAACAAAAATCTGAGGAGCTGGGTAGGTGTGATTCTATATGGTGTCCATCCTACACCATGTAGCAGGTGATTCAAAAGTCATGGTACCACAGGCTTAAAGGTAAGTCACCTAAACTGTCTGTTGTCAACTTCCCAACTTGACTGGATATTCTCACAGGCAGGAATTGTGTCTCCAGGAGAGCACAGCTCCTTAAGGAGGTTGTACATCTGTCCATATTTGAGCAGCTTAACTGATATGGCCCTGGAAAGATGGGTGCTGCATTTGGCACAGGACACATGTCCAGGTAAGGGACTCCCCATATTACTGGTTGATGACTGGTTGCCACTCTTCAGTCCAGGGCTCCAGAAAGCCTGTCCTGTCCAAGTCATGACCCACGGTGCTATCGTGTGACCTAGAGAGCAAACAATAGCATAGCTGAAGTTCAAAGAAGGCCATGGGGAGCCATTCCAGCACGCAGAGTTTCCCCCAGGAGATACAGATCACTTCAAGGTCAGGTCATTGCTGCCCCATTCCCTTCTCCAAGCTGGAAAAGTGTGGTCTGGTGGCCTGTGCAAACAAAAATCATCAAGTCTCATCACTGATTGCTTCCAAGCATAGTGATCAGTCTTTCAGGCTGCTAACCTAAATCTGTAAGAGAGTGACAAATGTCCCAAGCTCTGTGTTGGGTCTCACGCTCTTCTAGCATGAATGGCTGTCTCCCTTCCCTGCTTATAATGGGATGCTCTACTTTACATCCAACCAAAATTCTTGCTGTAGCTTCTTTTGCTCTGAGCTCTAGGAAAATCATCACCCTTTTCACAATTCTGGGGCTTCCCTTCCTTTTTTTTTTTTTTTTTTTTTTTTTTGCTTGTTTGCTGTGTGTGGTAGGGGGAGGGAAAGCAGAGGCCCTGTGTTGTCACTCATCTGTACTCATGGTGATTACAAAGCAATGCACCTAATTAACTGTGACACACATGGACTTGTTAAAGAGTTTGATAAAATTTTAATTACCCCTTGTTTTGTTGGGCAGGCAGCAAACCATGAAAATAATAATCATCTTGAGTGTTGTCACAGCAGAGAGAGCGAATGACTACATGAAGGTAGGTATGAACTGTAGGGAGTTAATAGTCCTGGGAGTAGGGTGGGTGTGGGGGAACAGTCCATGGCAGGGGTGGCTGACAGAGTGGCTATCGTACCTGGAATTCAGGAAAAAGATTCTTCCCTGAACTATCTAGATAATTTCCCCAATTCTCCATATTTTGTTGCTGTTGTTTGTTTTGTTTTTTGAGATAGGGTCTCACTATGTAGCCCAGGATGGCTTCACACTCACAGTCCTTCTGCTTCAGCTTCTCAATTGCTGGGATTATAGGCATGAATCACAATGCCCAGCTCCATTTTGTTTTTCTAGGCCTAACATTTTCTGGAGGCAAACTCACTGTATGCAAAGGGGGTGTTGGAGTGGCTTGAGTGGCAGAGCACCTGCCTAGCAAGCACAAGGCCCTGAGTTCAAACCCCAGTGAAGCCAAAAAAAAAGAAAAAAAGTTCTTCCAGAAGGACACCACAGTGGATTTCAGAGACTAAGCCCTCACTCCAGTCCCCAGTCAAGACAGACCCAGGAGAACTGTCAGGGGATGCATTCTCATGGCTCACAGATCCCAACTTGAGACACTTGCTGTCCCCCCACCACCTCCACCAGGCTCCTATGCCTCCTTTGCTGTACCCAGGCGAAGGGGAAAGGACAAAGTATCCACCTGATACCTTGGTGGTTTTGACTTTGTGTCCACTGCTGCAGCTCCATCCTGACAGGTCCGGGAGCACCTTACACTCCTCCCCTGGGAGACAGGGCTCCATCTGACACCACCATCTCTGCAGGACGATGGAGGCTGTGGGGCAGGAGGCAGGGTGCAGCGATAAGCTCTTTGCACAGCTGCTGTCACCAGGGTTATGCTTCTCACACCTCTAGCTTTGAACCCTGCATGTCCCTTCTATTCCCCCTACCCTGGACTGTATAGAGTGACAGCACCGTACTCGGGTGGAGGCTTGGGGACATACGGCTCTCCACATTAATCCCAGGAATCTCTGCATCTCCCACACAGTGTGTGAGCAAGTGCGAGCCATACCCAGGAGTGTGCAAGCTGACCTGCGTGTGGGTGCTGTGAGCATGGTTACACCGATGCCACGTGAGGAAGAGGACAGGTGTGGGCAGAGAGGTGGGTGAGGGGTGCGCGTGTCCAGAGAAAAAAGAGAATGAGCAGTGGAAGAGGCCCCCCCTCTGGAGGAGAGAGTGTGAGGCAGTGGGAGCAGGTGTGTTTTGGAATGTGTCTCTGTGTGCCAGACGGTGGGCACTATGAGAGGGCAGGTGTAACAAGAGCCTTCCTCCTCTGTGACTCAGGGATGTCCCATCTGCCCTCTTCTTTCCCACAGGGTGCCCCATCATTTGAGACTCTGATCATGAAAACCCTGAGATGGGTATGAAATTGGATCCCCAGCAGATGATGAAGCCTGAATAAACCTCCTTATCTCTGCTCAGGGCCTCTCTACCCACCCGCCCCAGGCCTGGCCTCTCACTCACCGTCCACACAGGAGGGTTTTGCCCGCGTGGTACCAGCCACCTGGCCAGAAAGACAGGAGCATTTGACAGTCTGGGAGCGCTCCTCAATTCGGTTCCGGTTGCAACAGCGGTGAGCAGCAATCACCTCGCACGTGCCCTGCTTTATGAGGACTGATGGGACCAGTCCCACAAAATCAGGTCTTCAGCCCAGGTCCCCAGCCCTGCCCCTCTCCCACCATCCCAGTGGTCCTCAAGCCCTTCCTCCCTGCTTAAGAGATTGTCAGGGCTGGTGCTACAGTGGTAAAGCGAGAGGCCCTGGGTTCCATCCCTAGAAGGTGGTGGGTAAGAAGGTATCTAATGGCAAGGAGGAAAGATGCAGACGGAAGGTTCCTGCTCTTCCCCAGCAAGAGGTGCTCATCACCAGGCTCTGACCTGGTCCATGGAAGAAAGCTGGAATCACACACCAGCCGCCACCTGCCAACTGTCTCAGGGTGAGGGCAAGGGCCCTGGGGCTTACAATACATGGAAAGGATCATCCGCTTACACAGGCTTTAGCCATCCCAGAAGGAAAACCTCTGAATTAGGCCAGGAGGCTAGACTTAAGCTCCCACCCAGGGCCTCTCTGGCTGCAAAATACCTTCCAGCCTGGAAGGGGCAATGAGCAAAGGGTCCGCCCAGACCTTCCCTGGTCTAGGACAGCAGAAGAGGGCAGAGTGTCCAGGGTGATGAACAGAGGGAAAGTCAGACTCTGAAATCTGTGGCTTTTACTCTGCCTTAGAGCCTGTTCTACAGAGTTGGGTGGGGTGCTGTCCAGCTCAGCAGCTGGAAAACCGAGTCCCATCACATCCCCCAAACCTGTGGCAGTAGAAGGCTGCAAGGAAGCCAAGGTCAGGCAGGTCCACACCCAGGCCAGAGACAGTGCCAGCAGCCAGCTGCTTGGGCTCCAGTTGCAAGCGACTCTCTCCCTCATCCTGTAGAGAAAAATGCACACCCTGCTTAGCTCCAGGCCAGAACCGGCCTGAACCCCTTCTCTGTGCCATACCTTCCAGGAGCCATAAGGGTGCCAGGATACATACTTTGTCCCCAGGCAGCTGGAAACCTGGCACCAAGTCACCGTAGGATGTGATGAGTGCTACTGGAGGACTGGAGAACAGGCAGGGAGAGCCTGTGGAGGGGACATTTAAGAAAGGCTTTGCAAAAGCAACTAGAAGATTGTAACACATGAGGAAAAATAATGCTGACTCTACTCTTTGAGCCCTTAACCCAGGCACTTCACACATGCACTTCAACCCTTTCCAAATAGTTGTTATTGTTTGTTTGATAGATGAGCAAACCAAAGCTCAAAAACCTGGGCACAACCCAAACAACCATCAGTAATGGACTGACTGAATACAGTGTAGAGACTGTACAAATGTGGTCCCTTCCTGACAGTTAAAAAAACTAATTGAGGAAATCGTTTATGTAGCGATGTGTGCAATGACCTTCCATGACAAACCACCATTAAGGGGAAAAAAGCAACAAGCAGGATGGTGTGTATAAAATGTGTAAAAGGGAGGGGTTAGTTATGTTGCTTGAGATGCATAAACTAGGTGTGGAACATGTATACAAAAACTAACAATATTGGTTGGCTGGGAGTTGGAGGTAGGAGGGAGACTTACTTTTCTTCCAATTTCTTTTCTTACTTTCTGAGTCTCAAACCTTGGTACTGTAGTAGCCATGCAATTCAATTTAAATTTAAAAAGGAAGAAATGGAACTAAGACTAACAGAAGTTAAAGGATTTGTCCAAGGATAGGTAGCATGCAGGTAGCAGAGATCAGAGCCCAAAGCCTCCCCTAATGCCACTGTGCCACCTTGCCTCTGCTCTTTTCCCCTCTTCTTCTCCTCCTCCATCTTGCATTGAACCAAATTGGGGGCAGGAACAACCAAAGGAGGTCTCTTGACTTTGAGCTCAGGGATTGGCCTGAGTCACTACTTTTGTTGCTCTGCTAGCCCCTTGGGGGACATTGCTGACTGCCCCCCTCCCAAATGAAGCACAGTTCTGGGAAGACCAGGAACCAAACCAAATATCAGGAGCCAGCTGCTCCCTTGGATGGAACCCTTGATCTCTCTCTTCACCCTTCCCTTCCCATCTTCTCTCCACTTACCTTTCTTGAGATCTTTCACCTTCTGTTCATCTACTGACCTCAGACTCACTCCACCTTGACAAGTAGGAAAGAGTTTTGAGGAGGTGGAGGTACAGAAGGAGCCTAAGCCCCTGCAGGGGCTGAAGGAAAACTCTACACTGAATGCACTGGAAAGATTCTGTATAATTGCAATCCCAGACAGCTGTAAAACAGCAACAACATACAGGGAAATGCTTTATGTAGCGATGTGTGCAAGAAGACAGGGGGTTACACTTGGCACTGAAGTAGCATCCAGTTCCGCAGCTGTTCCCAAGCCAATGGCAGAGTCTCTCCTTCAGCCCTGGAGATGTGCAGGCCCCTACAGACTCTGGGACCATGTAGGGCTGTGAGCCTGAGTCAAGCAGCCAGGACTTTCTGTCCCAGGAATGAAGCAGAGGTGAGAGGAGCCTAAGAATCACTGCTGTCATCTCTCTGGTCTCAGAACAAAGCTGAGGGTCAGAATCTGCTGGGGATTCCCAAGGCCCTGAATCCTCTTTGTCTCCATCCTCCCACCCCCACCCCTGCCCCATGCACTTGCTTCCTTGATCCCCACGGAGTTGGCTTAATTCTGCCACTGTCACTCCCATTCCCACTCCAGAGGGCTAGAATGGGGGTGCAACAGGTCTCTGAGCCTCAAAGACCGCTGTGCCCAACAGCCTCTCCATTCTCCCTAAGAGCCTCTTCCCTTTTAGCCTCTAAAGGAAGGCAGAAATGAAACACAGGATGTGAGGCCAAGGAAAAGACAGAGAACCCTGTGTCCTAGTTCTCAGGAGTGAGAGGGCCTCCAGAGGCAAGGATAGAAAAAGTGGTGCCAGTATCCTGGGGGAGATGTGCTCCATGGGCAGACACTCCCACCCTTCTAAAGGTGCCCCTTTTCTGAGTGGCTTTCTCTTCTCCCTGCCGGTCAGGAACATTCATTTTGACGGTTAGAAAAGTCTTCTCTCAGGTGATCCTTTTCTTTCTGAGGCATCACGCTCCAATCCATCTCACCCATCTCTCCTGTGTACCCCAAACCCCAAAGGACCTGGTGTGTGTTTGTGTGGGAGAGGGGGGATTGGAGCCCAGAAACTCTGACATTCTATTTTCTCCCTCAGAGGGAGCTCAGAAAGAAGCTTCTGGGATTTGTTCTTTAGCTTTCATGCTCTGCCTCAATTTCCAGCTGGTTTTCCCCAAGTCCCAATACTTGAGTGAGCAACCTGCATCCCACAAAGGAGTTGAGAATAGGAACCACAGAACCTTCGACCTTGCCCCATCTGCTCCCGCCCCCCTCCAGCCAGCGCCCACTCAGTCCACCAAATTCTGAGTCCCCATTCTTGGGACCTACCTGCCCCACAGCGGTGGCCACTGGTCCAACCTGCTCACCGGAGGTCCTTCCTCCCTGCCTTTCAGCATAGGACCAAGACTCCGACAGGCGGGCTCCAGACGCGAGCGGTCAGCGTGGGTGCTGTCTAATCCGGAGCTCTGTCCCCGTCCGTCACCAAGTTGCTGCACCCCGGGGACAACGGGGGCTCTGCCTAAGCTGGCATCACCGGGCCGGCTGGCCCAGCTCTGTGCATCTGGGACCTCTGGATGGGGCTCCACCAGCCAGGGACTGTAGGGCTCGGTCGGGTCCTCTCCGAACCTTCAGCGGGCAGGCCGGGGAGCGCGCAGCCGTCACCGCCACCGCGCTCGGTGTCGCCTGGCTCCTCCAGTCCCGCGCGGGCGCCGCCGCTTCCTTCGCGACAGCTCGGGGCGCTCGGCGGGACCGGCGGGCACAGCCAGCACGCAGCGGCCCCTGGCGGCGCAGGGCAAGAAGAGCAAGAGTGGCCCTCGGGTCCCCGCAGGTTCTGTAGGATTGGACAGCTCCCTGGTGCGGGCCAGGGCAATTCCGAGGGGGTCCCTTTATGCACCTGCCCCCCGATCTCGTGGTCCCTAGTCCTGTGGCTCGGGGGATGTATATAGGTGAGGGGGTGAGGAAAGCTGGAGTACCAAGTCTTTGCCCAGACCACTGGGGTTTTTGAGCTTTGAAAATATTGCCCAATTCGGTGGTCACTAGATACATGTTATTTAAATCTAAACTCATCATTAGATCAAGGGCAAACACAACAAGGGGATTGGACTATGAGCACATGATAAAAAGCGAGAGCACACAAGGGAGGGGTGAGGATAGGTAAGACACCTAAAAAACTAGCTAGCATTTGTTGCCCTTAACCCAGAGAAACTAAAGCAGATACCTTAAAGCAACTGAGGCCAATAGCAAAAGGGGAACAGGTACTAGAGAAAAGGTTAGATCAAAAAGAATTAACCTAGAAGGTAACACCCACGCACAGGAAATCAATGTGAGTCAATGCCCTGTATAGCTATCCTTATCTCAACCAGCAAAAACCCTTGTTCCTTCCTATTATTGCTTATACTCTCTCTACAACAAAATTAGAAATAAGGGCAAAATAGTTTCTGCTGGGTATTGAGGGGGGGAGAGGGAGGGGGCGGAGTGGGTGGTAAGGGAGGGGGTGGGGGCAGGGGGGAGAAATGAACCAAGCCTTGTATGCACATATGAATAATAAAAGAAAAATGAAAAAAAAATCTAAACTCATTAAATAAACTTAAGATTCAGGTCTTCTTTAGCACTCAAGTGCTATTTTAAAATGCTCAGTAGCCAGAGGAAGCTAGGGATGACTGGACTGGCCAGAACAGATAGAGAACAAACCCCCGGGGTTGCACAAAATTCTTGTCAACAGTGCTCTCCTCTATTGACATTCAGGAAGGAATAGTAACTATTTCTACCCAGCAGTGCTGCCCTCAGGGTGGACAGGACCAGGCGAGGTAGAAAGGCTGGGTGCCGGGCAGGGATGTAGTAGGCTGGTGAATGTCCCTCTGGATGATGGCTGTGAATCTTAACATGAGAACCACACTGAGACCTTAGTTTCTTCATTAGAAAAAAAAACCTGTCATTTAAAAACTGCAATTATATAATCCTTTACAGGGTTGTATTTTGGATATGGAAGTATCAGACAAATGAGTACCGAGGGGCTCTGTAAATTTGTCTCTTCACAGCAGGGACATGTCTCTTCGTACTACTGGGCTTTGGGGTCGGGATAATGTAGGGGGACAAGGGTGGGAGAAGCCCAGCTCTGGGACCTGAGACACTACAGATGGTCTGGGAAAAAGGGGTCAGTTTTAAAGCGGTCCTGACCCACTCCTTGTGCCCCTGTGTCTGGGCCACTCAGCAGAGTCTCAGCTCTCAGTCAAGAGAAATACCCCACAAGTCTGCTTATAGTCACCCTGTCCCCTTTTCCCTCTCACCCTTTACTGTCTCAGGATAAACAGAGGTGATGACCTCTCTCCAGAAGTGGGACAGTCTGAGGATGGAGGAGGTGTGAAGGTGTAAGGAATAGGTGAGAGGCTCAAAGAGATGAGAGCCCTAGGGTTTGGGTACTGCTGATGGTGGTGGTGGTGAGGGGGAGGCAGGGAGGCTGGAGCCCAAGGTAACTGCCTACTTCCCTGCAAACCGACTGGTGCTGGAGCCAGCGGTCCCCAGGCTCTAGATGTGTGGCCCATTTTTATAGCCACACCATGGGTGTTGGAAAGAGCAGGGAATAGGAAGCTGGGTGACACAGAAGTGGTAACTAAATTGTCCCAGAAACACTGAATAATAAAAACAGCCAGCGGTTATATTTTTTCTTCGGTCTTTGACTTCCCACTGATGTGATGCCATTTATCAGAGAGCTGGCTTGTTTTTCTCAAACAAGAGGGAAACACCCAGAACAGCAGTGTGTTCTTTGTCCCCAACCGCCTTTGCTGCTCTGTGTCTTTGGGTCTGAATTTTTTTTTCCTCTGTGACTTCATTTTCTCTGCCTCTTTCTGCCCAAAATTCAGGTATAATTACAGCAAGTCTACAAATCTGAATGGCCACTGTGGGATTTTTATTTAGAAGCTGCCAAGAAAGTCATCTTTCTGAGGGAGTGGGTGCTTAGCTTGGGGAAGAAAGTAGAGTATGGTCAGGAAGCACGCTGTGGACAGAACCCAGAGGTGGAGTCCCAACCATAAACAGGGTCCCAGTGGTGCCTGATTGCCTCCCCAACTTGTATTAGGATCACAGGGGCCTTGACCTCCTTTAAACTGCGTTGGGGGCAGGTCTCTCTGGGGTTCTAGTGATAAACTGCCTGATACCAGGTTTAGGGACAGGGCTCTTCCAGCGTCAGGTCAGTACCACCCTCCCCCAGAAGGAAGAAGGCAAAACAGATAGCCCACTGGGCTGTCCCACTGGACTGTCCCAGTGTTGAGCGAGTGAGCTTTTTCATCTTTTAGGCAAGCGCTGAGCCTGACCTCTGTCGCCCCCTGGCGGCAACCTAAGAACTTGCTCAGCATCCTGAGACCGCTCTTTGCCTCGACCCCCGGAGGGTGGGAGCCAGGAAACCCTACTCCTCATCTCTTTCCTATCACTTCCTCCCCGATGCAGAGACATCACTTGGTCCCTAAGTCAGAACTGGGTTTGGGTCCCATGCGGTTGATACAGGCATGAATCTCTAAGTGGCTGTATGACTTCTTGGGACAACTCCCGTAAAATGATAGAAAGTGTCATCCTGCCTTATCCGTAAAATGGATATAATAAAACCCACCTTGAAGAGTGAGTTAAGCGGTATAAATGGCCTAATGTATGGAGCGTGCTTTGTAGAGGGCATAGTCCTCAATGAATCGTCGTTATGTTGTTATCCTTACTCACTGGCCTGGGAGGTCTAAATGTGGGGAAAACGGTTCCGAGAAAATGGGGTGGAAGTGGCAACCCTTCTGACGGATGTGAGGGAGGTCTTCTGAAGGAACGGTGCTGTCAGGAGTCCAGGAATTTATCACAGCTCCTCGATCCAGGGTGGTGGGCTGCGCCTGGAGGGATTAGCATCACTCCAGCCGGCACCATCCTGCTTCTCTCGTCGCTGTAACTCCAGCAGCCTCAGCCGGAGGTGCTGTCACACCAGGTGCTTCACACCCAGTGGCCCTGAAGCAGCTGTTTTGCTATGAGGTCATCAGCTCCAAGGCCCTCCAAGCAGGCTGGCCACCCCGAATCCAGAGCAAGGAGCCTGCCTCCCTGACCCCCCGTCACAATGGGGACGTTCTAGCTGATGTCTAACCCACAGCACGACTGAAACAATGTTTCCTTCTCTCCGCTCCCTTCCCCCAACAGACCCTCGAGACAGTGGGGCGAGACAAAGACGGGATGGGGCGGGGCAGAGGCTGGGAGCTGGTGGGGCGGTTCCCGGGGTGGCCCAGAGCCAGGGGAAGTTTTGCGCCGATCGGGAGCGAGCACCGCCCACCCCGAGCCCTAGGGGCGGGGCCGGGCCGGGGGCGGGGCCACGCCGAGGGCGGGGCAGGGAGGCAGCATGCTAAACCGGGTGCGCTCGGCAGTGGCGCACCTGGTGAGCTCGGGAGGCGCTTCGTCTCCGCGCCCCAAATCCCCGGACCTGCCCAACGCCACCTCGGTGCCGCCCGCCACTCCAGAAGAGCCCAAAAGCCCTTCGGCCAGGCGTGGGATCGGGAGCGGGGCGCCTGCGAAGACCGTAGAGGCGCGAGCGAGCTTCTCCAGACCGACCTTTCTGCAGCTGAGCCCCGGGGGGCTGCGACGCGCGGACGACCACGCGGGCCGGCTTGTGCAAAGCCCCCCGGACACCGGCCGCCGCCTGCCCTGGAGCACCGGCTACGCCGAGTAAGCGCCCCCCGGGGCTCCCAAACCAGGATGGGACTCCCACCTCTCCCTAGCTTGCATCCCCGGCGCTAGGATGCGTCCTCGGAGCGGCGCTCTGGGCCAAGGACCCCCTTTCCCCAAGATCTTCCCAGGGGTCCGTACCCGAGCCCAGCCCACTCTCCAGTCCAGGCAGCCTGAATCACCTTCTTCAGGACTTGCAGATCGTTTCCATTCGCTTTCCCCGTTTCCCTCCCAAAGTCCGGAGGACTGAGGGCCCCCCCCCCAGGGATGAGTTAGCCGGTTCTCAGTCGCAGCCCGCAGTTTCAAGGCTAAGAGGGGGGAAGGTTCAAGGAGGAACCGGGTTCTTTCTGATAGGGAGATCGTGGCTAGAAAGACTCGTTCACCGACTTCCCAGCGCCCCAGTTCCCTGTCCCTCTTACGGTTCCCCTCCCCCTCCACACCCAGAAATAGCCCGCGACACCAGAAGGCCGCCGGCTCCCTGGGGCGGGGGAGGGGGCCGCCACCGTGAGGGAGGTCGCCCCTGTGCGAACGACTCACGCCGGTGGGGCAAGGAACTAGACCCCTGGCCCGAGTTCTCCTAGGCTGCGTGTATTTTTAATTACATATGCCGGGAAAGCCGAGCCCTGAGCGAGATCCGGGCACTGAGGTCGCTGAGAGAGGCGACTGGTGAGCCCGTGCCCCTCTCCCCTTTACCTTCCCACGTGGGAGGAGTTTGTAATTACGCATCTCTGACCCAGACCAGGTGGGCCTACACCTCTATTTCAATTCCTCTTTTCCCATCTGGGCTGGAGCGCTTCCTCACTGCTGATGGGGCAGAAATTTTGTCTGGGTGGTTTTAGGGTGAGGGTGGGTGTGCCCATGAGTGTGGCATGCTGGGGACAAAGTACTGAAAGAAGTGATTGAGACTGGGGATGGGATATAGGGTCTTGGCTAGCAGGGAAGTAAGATGTCCTGCCTTTATCTGGTTCCCCTCTCTGTCCCTCCTCCCTGCCCTGCAGCACCAATCAGGAAGCCTCCTTTGCTAAGGATGGGGGAACTGAGGCAGGTGCAGGTGCCGGCCTTTCTATGAGGTGGTAGGGCCTGCCACCCAGACAATACTCCTTGCTGGCCCTCCCTTCTTCCCATCTGGCCTGGATCCCGGACAGCTGTGACCTTTCTCAGCTTGGCCACTAGGCAGAAGAGGATGTGTGTGTCTTAGGTGGGGGTTATTCCAGGACCTGTTGTGGTGTCCAACCTGATGTGTTCACTTCTGGCCCTGCAGGGTCATAAATGCTGGTAAGAGCCGGCACAATGAGGACCAGGCTTGCTGTGAAGTGGTGTATGTGGAAGGCCGGAGGAGTATCGCTGGGGCTCCTAAGGAGCCTAGCCGAGGCCAGGTAAGCCCTCACCCTCTTTCCTAGCCTCCAGAGACATGGTGACACCTCTCCCTAGGGATTCCAGGCATCTGGTTTTAAATCTGAGACACGTGGAAAGCTGCCTCCGATAATTCACTCGCTTTCTGCCTCTGCCACAGAACCCTTATGTGGCTTTGATTCGTGAGATTCTACCCTGTCAGTATGAGTGTTTACTTTCCACTTAAAAATGTAGATCCTCGTGTATTTATGGATGATTTCACAAATGCTGATTTTTTTTTGCACCCCTTTGCATCTCTGAATTTGGCCTTTTGTTTGCTTTGTTCTTTGAATTTGGCTTTTTCGAGGTTCTCCTTTCTCTTGACACATAATAGGCCATACACAAATAAGTGAATAAATGTAATTTACCTTAGCTCCACTCTTCTCTCTGATGTTTATATGGATGGATGCCTACAGCCTTGTTCTTCTTCCTGTATCTCTCTCTCTCTCTCTCTCTCTCTCTCTCACACACACACACACACACACACACACACACACACACACTAGCTGACTCACCTCCAACTTTTCCTCCATCAGGGACTGTGCTTCTACTACTGGGGCCTATTTGATGGGCATGCTGGGGGTGGAGCTGCTGAAATGGCCTCCCGGCTTCTGCATCGCCATATCCGAGAGCAGCTAAGGGACCTAGTAGAAATACTTCAGGATCCCTCGCCACCTCCCCTGTGCCTCCCATCCACCCCAGGGACCCCAGGTTCCTGTGACCCCTCTCTCCTGGTTGGCCCTCAGTCCTGCTGGTCTTCGCAGAAGGATGTGACCCATGAGAGCCTGATAATAGGGGCCATTGAGAATGCCTTCCAGCTCATGGTGAGTGGATGGCCTGCTAGGCAATCTGGTCAATTCTGGGGTGGGCGGGGTGCGGGGGGAGCTTGAGAACCTGGAACACCTTTGAGAGTCTGAGCAGAAGCTTGATTTTTTGAGTGGAAGAAGGGAAGTAACCCCCATTTGTTCCTCCTCTCCTCCAGTGTGGTCTGGCTGGGCCAGGTGATTTCTGCAGATGGAGGTGGGGAGGGTGACTATGTGCTTGGAAGCTCTTCTTCCACCCCCCCTTTGACCTTTCCTCATTTGACAGGATGAACAGATGGCTCGGGAGCGTCGTGGCCACCAAGTGGAGGGAGGCTGCTGTGCCCTGGTTGTGGTGTACCTGCTAGGCAAGGTGTACGTGGCCAATGCAGGTGACAGCAGGTATGGGGGAGAAGGGCTTTGAAAGTGACCCTGAGGGGCCATATTCTATAGGATGGGGGGAGTAAAAGATAGTGAGGCAGTGGGGGTTAAAAATAAATGGTTGGAAGGGGTCAGTGAGATGATAGTTGTAAGAAAAGCCCTGAAATATCCATGAGGGGAGGAGAGATGGGGCCTGGGTGGAGAATTCTAAAGTCATTATGGGAACAGCCTGGTCTTTCTGGAACTTTCCATGAAGGGGGCTGAGGAGAGCCAGGCCCAGAGCCTTTTCTTTGTCTGGGCAGGGCCATCATTGTCCGGAATGGTGAAATCATTCCAATGTCACGGGAGTTCACCCCCGAGACTGAGCGCCAGCGTCTTCAGCTGCTTGTAAGTAGGAAGGGAACTCCTCACCTCCATTCTTTATTGAGGCTTGTGCCTATCTGCACCCTGTCCCTCAGGACCCTCACACTTCCACCGTGCACACAGAAAGTTCCTTGCTGGAGGCTGTGTGGACTGTGGAGAGCAGGGCCGAGCTGGATGATGCAGCAGGAAGGAGCCAGGGCTGGCCTGGTGGCTCCCACTGTGGCCTCAGCTGAGGAAGGAAGTAGAGTCAGAGATGGGGGAAGAAACAACAAAGGCCCCTGAAAGGCAGTCTGGCTTAAACACATGGGCTCTGGAACTGGACTGCCTGGGATTGAAGCCTGGTTTGTGTACTTTGCTAGTCGTGTGAGGACTGACATCTTAACCTCTGTGTATCCATAGTTCCTGCCTCACAGTTGGCGTGAGGAGTGAATAAGTTAACTTATGTTAATATTAGAATACCATGTGGCAGGTGATAAGCTTTATTTAAGGGTCTGCTAACCCCTAACATATAGAATAACATCATCTAAGTGTTGTGTCGAGGTGCGCTGTGGGGTAATGCTCAGGTTCCTCTGCTCTATCTGGCCCTTCCCAGGGCTTCCTGAAACCAGAGCTGCTGGGTGGTGAATTCACCCACCTCGAGTTCCCCCGCAGAGTTCAGCCCAAGGAGTTGGGGCAGAGGATACTGTACCGGGACCAGAACATGACTGGCTGGTAATACTTCCCTTAGAGCTGGGGCTGTTCCCATGGCAACACAACCAGTCCCCCACCAGCAGCAAGGTGGAATCTGGAGGCTGGGTCAGGCTGGAGTTGGGTTTGTGATCCTTTTCAGGTGGGGTTTGTGTGAGGGGTGTGGCTCCAAGGGGAGAGGGACTTTGCTACACCGTGATGCCTCCTCTACTTCCCCCTCCCCAGGGCCTACAAAAAGATCGAGCTGGAGGATCTCAGGTTTCCTCTGGTCTGTGGGGAGGGAAAAAAGGTAAACTCCATGCAGGGGTGGGAGAGGGCAGGAGGACCCAGAGCTTGCCTAGGGAGGTGAAGGTTCTACCGGAGGGCAGGGGTGGAGGGCTCTATGGTTTTAGAGCATCTAGGATAGGACTAAACAGCAGTACACCCTACCCTCATTTCCCTCAGGCCCGGGTGATGGCCACCATCGGGGTGACCCGGGGTTTGGGAGACCACAACCTTAAGGTCTGTAGTTCTACTCTACCCATCAAGCCCTTTCTCTCCTGCTTCCCTGAGGTGAGCACACTTTCCCTCTTCTGGGGATCTCAGGCTGGCTTTCATCCAGGGTCCCTTTCTCCCCAAGTCTCCTACCAAGCCAACCCCGCAACTCAGTTCTCACTACCCTCTTTCCCTACCAGGTACGAGTGTACGATCTAACACAGTACGAGCACTGCCCTGATGATGTGCTAGTCCTGGGAACAGATGGCCTCTGGGATGTCACCAATGACTATGAGGTAGCTGCCACTGTGGACAGGGTGCTGTCAACCTATGAGCCCAATGACTCCAGCAGGTAGGGGCTGCATGGCATGGTGATGACATGGCACATGGGATGGTACTAGCGAAGGACAGTGGGAAGCAATGCTTGGAGACCCATATATGGGTCTATGTATTTGTTTTCCCATATACATGTTGGTACATGAATGTACACATGTGCTCCTGGCAGGTATACAGCTCTGGCCCAAGCTCTGGTCCTGGGGTCCCGGGGCATCCCCCGGGACCGTGGTTGGCGTCTCCCAAACAACAAGCTGGGTTCCGGGGATGACATCTCGGTCTTCGTCATCCCCCTGGGAGGGCCAGGCAGTTACTCCTGAGGGACTTGGCCCCATCCCTTTGCCTACCACCATCCCAGCCTCTCCATACTTACCCCTCCTCCCAGCCCAAAATCTGACGTTGTTTCCCTGACCCTTTTTTCGTGGCAATTTAACTAACAAAGGATGCTTGCTAGATCCAGAGTTACAGCTACTGGCAAATAAACCATGCGGATAAAGTGTGTGTCTTTGTTTTGCTTTGACTAGAAACTGAAAAGTACATAAAAGCTCTTTGGGGTGGTAGAGAAAACCTCAGAACAGTCCTAAAAATGTAGTTTCCCTAGGGTCTTTCTTCTGTCGTCCCCTCTTCCCACCTCATCCACTTGCCAGGAGCGTTCTCAGCCACCTCTCGATGTCTTCACCCATCTGCTGATTTCTATGTACCCAGCCAAACCTGTCCTAAGCTTTAGACTTATACATCCCAGTTATCTCCCAAACGTGTGTTAGACAGCCCACTGGCACCCCAACTCAACCCGCCTCAAACTGAGCTCACCATTTCCCCAATAAACATGATCCTTCTGCCTCATCCTCTCACGGGACACCAGCTTGGTTGCTCAAATTAAAAGTTTTGGAGTACTGCCAGGCACCTGTGACTCATGCCTGTAATCTTAGCTACTCAGGAGGCAGAGATCAGGAGGATCGCTGTTCGAAGCCAGCCCAGGCAAATAGTTCACTAGACCCTATCTTGAAAAAAACCCTTCACATAAAAGGGCTGGTGGAGTGGCTCAAGGTGTAGGTCCTGAGGTCAAACCCCAGTACCACACACACAAAAAAATCTCAGAGTGAGTCACCCTTAGTTTTTGTTTCTTGCTCATCACGTTAATTAGTCGCTAAGTCAGTCATGTGCCCCGTAATGTTTCGGTAAACTAGCTGCATGTACCATACAGCCTAAGTGTGTAGCAGGCTGCATATCAGCTTGTATAAGTATGTCTTATGATCACAGAACAATGAAATCACCTAACAATACCTTTCTCATACCATCCCTATCATTAAGGGATGCATGACTACATTGTTCATTATATAGTTTTTAAAATATTTCATATTTTTCCACCTATCTTGACATTCTTTATCACCACTCTTTTTGCTTGCAAGGCAGGCGCTCTACCACTCAAGCCATGACTCTAGCTCTTTTTGCTCTTGTTAGTTTGGAGACAGGGTCTTGCTTTTTGCCCAGGCTGGCTTGGATCACAATCCTCCTATTTATGCTTCTTGCTGTTACTGAGATGGCAGGTGCAACCATCATGCCCAGCTGTTGGTTGAGATGGGGTCTCTAGAACTTTTTGTCTGGGCTGGCCTTGAACCACAATCCTCCCCATTTTAGCCTCCCAAGTAGCTAGGATTACAGTGTGAGCCACAGGCACCTGGTTTGCTTTAGATCTTTATCAAATCAGCTTCCTAACTTCAATGACTCTTTATTATTGCACCTAGAACATATAAGGCATATAAGGACCTTCATGATCTGGCTACTGTTTTCTTCTCCAGCTTCTTCCATCACCACTACCATCAGTACCCTCCTGGAGTTCCCATAACTCTGTGGACCTGTAGTAGCTCCAACTTACTATTTTAAATTTAAAAGCCAAGTGTGGTGGTTCACATCTGTAATCCCAGACACTGGGAGGCATAGGTAGGAGGATCTCAGTCTGAGGCTGGTCCCAGGCAAAAAATGCAAGTGCAAGACCTTATCCTAAAAGTAAACCAAAAAATGGCTGGGGGTGTGGATCAAGTGGTAGAGCACCTGCCTAGTAAACCTGAGACCTTCAGGTCATACCCCAGTACTGCAAAACAAACAAAAAAATCAAACATGGCAAAACCTCATACATCACCTTTTCTTGAACACTTTACCTGTCCAGGGCTGGGCACATGCATGCCCCTACAGCAATGACCCTGGGATTATACCTGTCTATCAAGGAGTCCAGAGGGAGTTGTAAAGAACAGGGCTCTAGACTCCAGCTGTTTGGATTTGAGACCCAGCACTGCTCTGTAACTTCTCTGAGCCTCCATTTCTCAGCAAAATGGAGTTAACAGTACTACCTCATAAGGTCGCTTGTAAGGACTAAAGTAGTTGGTGTATGTAGACCAAGTCCATGTAATAAAGTTCAGTAAATGCTAACTATCTTGGAATTTTGTCCATATTCCTTATTCAGGTAGTTATTTGACATCTTTGACACATTGTTCTCAGTTCACAGTAAGTGCTTACTGAGTAAAGTGAGGCCAGGCGCCGTTGGCTCACACCTGTAATCCTAGCTTATGAGAAGGCAGAGATCAGGAGACTTGAGGTTCAAGGCCATACCAGGCAAATAGTTCAGGAGACCCTATCTTGAAAAAAACCCAACACAAAACAGGGGTGGTGGAATGACTCAAGTGGTAGCATGCCTAGCAAGGGTGAGGCCCTGAGTTCAACCCCAGTCAGTGCTGCCAAAAAAAAAAAAAAGCCTGGGGACCAAACTGGTCTGGGCATCAGTTTCTCAAATGTATGAGTTGTACTTCAGATCTTTAAGGTCTGTGTATTTCTAGCATGCATTCATTAAATATTTGTTGAAAACCTGTAAAGTGCCACACACACTGGCTAGACTCTAGTGGAGAGGGGCAGGTTGGAGGAGCTTGGGAGGCAGCAGTGAGACAGCACCCACCTTGGAGCCACACAGGCTTGACTGTACAAATTCTTGCTGTCACAGATTGCAAACATTTGCTAAACAAATCTGAACCCCAGTTCTAACCATCTTCTTTTTTGAGGCAGGGTTTTTTTTTTTTGGTGGCAGTACTGGGGTTTGAACTCAGGTCCTCATGCTTGCTAGGCAGGAACTCTACCACTTGAGCCTCTCCACCAACTCTATTTTTGTGATGGGTTTTTTCCAGCTAGGGTCTGGCAGAACTATTTCTCCTGGCTAGCTAGATCCTTCTGATCTCTGCCTCCCTGAGTAGTAGGATTATAGGTGTGAGCCACGGGTGCCTGGCTTGAGGCAGGGTCTTGCTGTATATAGGCCAAGCTGTTCTCAAATTTGCTCTGCAGCCCAGACTGGCCTTAAACTCAGGATGCTCCTACTTCAGCCTCTCCACTGCTGAGATTTTAGGTGAGCACCACCACCCTGGTCTCCCCACTGCCCGGTTCTGGGCATGTGTGCTTGCCAGGAAACACTCCATCCTGAGCTACATCCCCTGCCCCAGTTTCTTTACAAGCGATGAGTATACTTACCTGAAAGATCTAGAATGAGTATTTAAAGGGTCAAGCTTTTTCAACACAAAGCTAATAAAATGTTGGCAGACTTCCTCCTCCTACATCCACCTCCTCAGCGCTCTACAGGAAAGAAGGTACACGTGTAAGTAAATACACTATGCGACACATCAGTCAGTGTCCCTAACGGTACAATAATACAATAGGAGTGGGAGCTGAGTTCCCAGCTGGGAATCCGGAAGTATATCCAGGAGTGCGCTTTAAGGAGTAAGTAGGAATTGGACTCAGAAATTCCAGGCAAGGAAAGGGATTTGTGAGTCGGGTGGTGGCCTGGGTCTGCAGGTCCTGCAAGGCCTTCGAGGTTAAGGATGGGGTCAGCCTGTCCTTGCTCTGCAGTGATTCCAGGAGCAGAGGGTGAACGTCTCCTGCACCCTCGCCCCCTCGGGCGCCCAGGTTTTCCGTCTCTTGCGAGGGCCCAGGTGGGGCAGGCGCGGACGGCTGCACGGCCACCGGAGGGCAGCAGCAGCCCTTCTTGACCCCACCCCAAAGGCCTCTCAACTTTCCCGACATGGGTCCGCCCCTAGGGGCTGGAAGGCGGGGCAGAGGCTGAGTCCTGGCGGGGTTCCGCCCGCGCCCACTCCTTCGCAGTCGGGCATCGCCCTGCCACCCTCCTCCCCTCCAGCCTGGACACCCAAGTCCCCGATCCCCTGCCCACAGCGGGGCGATCTGAGGGAGCCTGGAGCTGGGGCTGGTGCTGAGGCCGAGGCCGGGGGCGGACGGAGCCAAGGGCCGCCCCCTGGCCGCCCCTCCCCCTGCCGGGCCGCCCCTCCCACCGAGCCACCGAAGGAGGGCGGGGCGGGGTCCCTCGGGTCAGTCTCAGCCTCCGGCGCCGGCCGCGCAGCTGGAGGCGGCGAAGCACCAGGTACCCGGGGCCTGGCTAGGGGTGGTGGGGTGTCCTGGGGACTCGTCCGGGGAGAGCACTTTCCTCCTCCTCCGCTTGCCCAGAGATCAGGCCGCGGCCTGGGAAGGGGGCTTTGGTCCAAGCATGGGCGCGTCTCCCCTCCTCCCCCAACAGCAGCTAGAGGCCCCCGGAACTTCCAGGCGGAGGGGAGGTGGGGAAGTCTCCTGCTGAGCTGGGGTCCTGACCCGATCCTCTTCCCTTCCCCTCCCGGCTTCCCGGATCTCCTCGAGGGGAGAGGGACGGACTTGGATCTTCGCGAGGGAGCTCAGCATAGGCGCTCGAGAGCCCTGGCGGGCGGCCCGACGTGGACCTGGAGGGGTACAAGTTGGGCCCAAGTCTGGCTGGGATGGTGGAATGGCAGGAATAGGAGCGGGGTGTGACTATTGGGGGCTGCCACTGCTCGGTGGAGTCTGGGCTCCGCCTTCTACGGTTTTTGGAGCAGCCTGGGGTTGGGGATAGGGGTGCGGTGAAGGATCCAGATCCTGTCTGTGTGTGTGTGTGTGTGTGTGTGTGTGTGTGTGTGTGTGTGTGTGTGAGTGTGAAAAAAAATCTCGCCCCTCCTTCACACTTCCAAACCAAGCTAAAGATTATCCTGGGCGATTCTGGGCTGGGGAAACTGAGGCTGAGGTCTTCCCTCACTTGTGGCTTTAAAGGTGAGGAAGAGAGACGTCTACAAGGCTGATTCCTTCCCTAAACTTTAAGAATAGTGAGTAGGGTCCCGGGTCCCACTGGATCATGTGGAAAATCTAGAGAATGACTGAGAATAGGACTTGTCTCAGGGAGGCCCCAGAAGTTCCAGCTGTGTTCTAGGCTCCACTCCAGGCCCTGTGTGGGGTTTGGTGGCCCCTCTTAAGGTCAGTGGGACAGTTCCTCTGGGGCTGCAGCTCACAGGGAGTTGTCCATGCCATCTTGGCTTTGGGCCTATTGGCCTGGCCTGGCCTGAGCACCAGCTCTTCTGACCTAACCAGAGCCAAAAGGGAAAGTCTTCTAATTGAGCTAGAGGCTCAAAACCACTTAATGCAAGTACCTATCCTGAAGTTCTGGCCTCTTCCTCTCCCCACGTGGTGCTGGGGCCATCAGTAACATAACTCACGCCTAAGTGACTCCTAGTCAGTGTATTCAGCACAGTAGTGATTGTCCCCCAACACTGCCCACTCCAGGTTGTGGCTACCCCAGCCCATCTGTACACAGCTGGACCAGTTGAACTCATGGAGTGGGTGGAGGAATTGGAAGAAATCCTGTCAGTTACCTGGGTAGACTTCCCAAGGAACCTCCCTTGTTGGAGGGGCTGCGCTGGCAGCGTGGATGCCTTTTTGCCTGTCCTTTGGGGTTTCAGAGAGAGCCTCTTTGTCGTGGGGCGAGTGTGGCTGTGTACTCTCAACTCCTATAAATTCTCCGTGACTCATGTCCTTCTCCCCATGATGACACAGTTTTGTGAATGTGCATGTGGAGTGGAGGGAGGGGGGGCACCCAAAATTCCCTAGTTGAAGAGAACCAGCATGGGACCCCAGTGTTCCAGTCAGCCAAGGCCTGGGTGTGAGGTGGTTGATGGTATGCGGGAGTGCATGAGTTCATTCTGGCCTGACAGGATATGGGACTAAGAGAAAAAGCCAGGTTTGGGGCTGAGATCAGGTTACTCTTCCCTGCTTAACCGCTCCCTGCCTGGTTTGTGCTCATTTGTCTCTTCTTTTGGGGCTCCTCCCAGCCCAGACTCCAGCCCCCTGCCCTTCTCAACTGCTTTGACTGCATCTCTGCTCCAGAGCCCGCCCTCTTCCTCCCAGGCTATAGGCCTGGGAACCTCAGCCGGCTAGAGATCAGCTCCCCTCCCCAGGGAAGAAGGAAGTGAGGGAAGCTAGAGGTATGATGACCTGTTAGTTCATGTGTGTTAGGGACAAGGACACATGCAAATCCTGGGAAGCTGACTTCCTACCCTGAGTCACAAGGAGGGATGGGTGAGAGCTAAGAGTGAGCTGGACAGAGGAAGGGACTGTTCCAGAGTGGGTGGAGGTGATTCCCTAGTGGATTGTTCTGTCACTGCTGTGGTCGATGTGTGTCTCCTACAGTGTGGTCATTGTCCCCTGCTGCGACTGAGTGACCCAGTGTTGCTGCCAGGCCCAGGAGGAAGGGGGGAAGAGGGCAAGCTGCCCGAATGCGAGCTGTGGGCATCGCAGGGACTGAGCCTCCTTTGTGTGTCTTTGTGTGGGCTTTGGGGAGTGGGTGGGGTGGGCCAAGGAAGCTGGCTGGCTGCTGCCACTATCTTCTGTCTGGGTTTCACTGCTGCTGCTGTCCTTCCCCCTCTGGGGGTGACATGTAGGAAAGGCACAGGCTGGAGTCACACAGCCCTGCTTTGAGTGCTGCTTATGTGTCAGACTCTGAACACGTCCTAACCATGAGCTTCAGTTTCCTAGTGTGTCAAAGTAGGACGTGCAGCTGGGGACTGAGGGAGATCATTTTTGTGCAAATGCCCAATGTAGCTTGGAGCACCTAGGGGCTCTACAAATATTCTTTGCCTTACCCACCCATCACCTGTAGGTGCTTCTTGTAGTCTTTGAAGAGGAACTCCGCTGTGACTAAGCAGGCATGACTACCGAGGGACAATCTGTTCTAGATTGTACCTTAGCTATTATTAACCTTTAGTCAAAATTCTAGTAACAGTTGAAGTCTGACTTTAAACTCCCATATACAAAGCAGAGAAAATCTGGCTCTTTTGGAGCTACGCAGGAGCACCTCTCTAGGTATCCAAGGTCCCCCAGTTGAATGAATGGTTTAAACATGTTTTCTGGCTCTCAGGTGATGACTTCCTCTACCTCCCTTCTGTTCTAACTCATGGGGAGTTAGAATCTCTACTCAGTTCTGTCCCTGAGCAGAGATCAGAAATTTCAAGGTCTGCTGCCTGCAGGATTGTTCTGAGAAAGAACACACCAGGAGCAAGCCCCCTTTCCTTCCTTCCCTTCCTTTGCTGGATACCTGAGTTTCCAGGGACATTTGGGGGGCCCTAGAGAAGTGGTTTTGGACTTACTAGATTTTCCCTAAATCCCCTGTGCCTCCTGACCACCAACTCCAGCCATGGCTGCAATCCGGAAGAAGCTGGTAATTGTGGGGGATGGTGCATGTGGGAAGACTTGTCTGCTCATCGTCTTCAGCAAGGACCAGTTTCCAGAGGTCTACGTCCCTACTGTCTTTGAGAACTATATTGCAGACATTGAGGTGGATGGCAAGCAGGTGAGGGCCCAGAACCTCTTCCTATCCTGGAAACCTGCCCTGGATCACACAGGGACCTACAATGTCCTTCCTTTCCACTCACACATACCCTTGCTTCATTGTCCCTACTGGAATCAATAACAGTTGGGAAGTGAAACTGTGGCCTTCGAAAACCTGGATGTACTGTCTGGTTCTACCACATACTGACGTTGTAATCTGGGCCACATCTCTTTGCCGCTGGGTATAAACTCTCTCCACCCCACTGCTAAATGGGCATAATGGCAAGACCTCCCCCCGAAGGTTGAGAATTAAACAAAATGGTGCTCACAGTGGCAACTCATACTACACTGTGAGTAAACATGTCTTAGATTTAAAAAAACTCACCTAGTGTATTGTGTGACAGTGCTCAGATGTTCAACAAGCTTTAAAGATCAGTGGTTTCAAGAGAGGTCCTCTGGGTGGCAGGGTTGGGGCCCTGGGGCCAGTTACTCACTGGCCCTGTGTGTCAGGTGGAGCTGGCTCTGTGGGACACAGCAGGGCAAGAAGACTATGATCGCTTGAGGCCTCTCTCCTACCCAGACACTGACGTCATCCTCATGTGCTTCTCCATTGACAGTCCCGACAGCCTGGGTGAGGCTTTGGTGGGGAAGTGGGGATTGAGACCCCCTGGAATGAGCCATTTTTGGAGGCTGAGGCTGTGGGGTGAGAGTTCCTGGGGGCATTCTAGCCTGGTCGCTGTCCTTTGCAGTGGCAGCTATGGTCTTTGGGGAGGGCTGGGGAGGATGAGCTGTGGAAGAGGTTTCTGAGATTGCTGTGGGAAGACAAGGCCCCTCTTGCTAAACGGAAACACTGATACTTCTTGGGACATGTCTGTGCAGAAAACATTCCTGAGAAGTGGACCCCGGAGGTGAAACACTTCTGCCCGAACGTGCCTATCATCCTGGTGGGGAATAAGAAGGACCTGAGGCAGGATGAGCATACCAGAAGAGAACTGGCCAAGATGAAGCAGGTGGGTGGGGTTGCCCACTAGGAGCCCTTAGGGCAGGAAGGACCCTTTGGAGGGGTGGCAGACCAGGACAGAATCCCTAGTTGATTGTCCCATGTTAAAGGTGACTGCAATGTTTACCATCCCCTCCTGCGACCCTGGTAAGAACCAAAAGGACCCTTGGTAGCTGATGAAATGTCAGGGAAGTGACTTGTTCAAGGCCACTTGGTTTTTTCCACTTACTCTAGTTTACTGTTTTTGGAGTTGGGTGCTGGTGGCTCATGTCTGTAATCCTTGCTACTCAGGAGGCAGGGATCAGGAGGATTGTAGTTTGAAGCCAGCCGGGGCAAAACAGTTCACAAGACCCTATCTCAAAAATCCCATTACAAAAAAGGGCTGGTGGAGTGGCTCAAGGTGTAGGTCCTGAGTTCAAACCTCAGTACCACAAAAGAAAAAAAAAAATCCTGTCCTCAGGGGACAGCTTGTTTCAATTAGGGTATGTAGGCTGTGCTATTAGCGCACACCTGGAGAGAGAAGGCCCAGAGGGCAAGGGCTAAATGGCTCTGTAGCCAGAGGACTACTTTATCTGTCGTTGGAAGATGCCAAGATAAGGGAGGTGAACTGTCTTGGGAGGATAATTATGGTAAGATTTTAAACTAGGGACAGATGTCGAATATGCAAGCTAGAAAAAAATATGGTAGCTACAGAGGATGGACAGGAGGAAAGTGAGAATGGAGGCCAGTTCAAGATAGTGAGCACCCTAGGGTGTAGGGCTCAGTGGGGGACAGGGAACAGACTGGAGAGGACTTTCAACGTGACTCTTAGATCCTTTGCTTAGAAGCTATGCAGGGTAGCTGGGGCCTGAGTGCTTTGGGGGTTAGGCTGCAAAAACTACTCTAGTTTTCTACTTATTTATGGGTGATATGGCAAGAGGTACACTTAGTACCAGCTTCCTTCCCCTTATCTTCTGTCTTTTTAGGAGCCTGTTCGATCTGAGGAAGGCCGGGACATGGCCAACAGGATCAGTGCCTTTGGCTACCTGGAGTGTTCAGCCAAGACCAAGGAAGGGGTGCGGGAGGTCTTTGAGATGGCCACTCGGGCTGGCCTCCAGGTCCGCAAAAATAAGCGTCGGAGGGGCTGTCCCATTCTCTGAAATCCCCAAGGCCTTCCTTCCCTTCACACAGGTACAAAATACCTGTCCACTCCCAAATTCTACCCTCATAGGACTCCATGCTGAAGGCTCCCATTTTCAGTTCCCACCTGCCCAGGACTGCACCGGTTTCCCCAGCCCCAAGTGGTGGTCAGTCCTCCCTTCTTCTCTCCAGTCCTCTGCGAAGCAGGCCTGTGCAGGGTCCCTCCTTTGCCTTGGTCCAGGGGTGGGGCTCTTGCTCCCTGTGGCCTTCCCCAGAGGACAGTCACACACCAGCACTTTATATACTTCTGGCTCACAGGAGCTTGCTAGGGTGGGGATTTGGGGTTTCTGCTTTGGGCAGTGGCCTTGTCCCAGACTATACTTGGTTGGGGGGGGGCATGAATAAAGGCCACCGGTTCTAGCATGTGTTGTGACAGCATCCTGTCTTTCTTGGTCTCTAGCCTGGCTTTCAGCTTCAGTCCCATCTCTTCAGTTCCAAGTTGCTGGCCAGGCAGGACTTGGGGGCAGGGTGGAATCTAGAATGAAGAATGAGGTCATGCCTGGCTGTGGGCCTAGGAGGTGGGTGAGGGGAGTGGTCTGTAACAGGCTAAACTTAGAAGCCCATGGGTGGCTTCCCTGCCCAGTGTTTCCTCCCCTGCACATGGGAGCTGCTGGGGGTGTGGCCCCGGGCAGGGTTTGACAGTCTTACCCTCATTCAGGGTCAGCTTGGGGGCGCAGGAAACGGGCCAGGCTGAGGAGACAAGCAAGAGGCTTTTGCATAGAACAAGATTTTGTTTTCAGAATTTTTCTTCCTTCTCCATCCCCCCAATTGTTAGCAGCTCAGTGTGTTATTCTCCCCAGCAGGGATAGGGGAGAAATGGCTTGGGTTGTAAACTCCCTTCCCGGCTGGCCTTCCTGTCCCTCACAGGGGCAGCTGGGCTGGGTTCTGGCACAGGGATGAGCAGCGGTTAAGGCTTGGCTGGCTTGAGGATGCAGGCAGCTGTGTCTTCACAACTCATTCCTCCACTCTGGTTCCACTTGCAGGCACACGTTCCCTTCACCTTCTCTCTCCTGGGGGAGGTAGTCACGACCCTGGGGTCCTAGGAAGAATGGAGGTGTGCTTTCTCTTCTTTATCTCCCCCTCCTCGCCTGCCCCACCTCTGCCATGGTTCCACCATACCTGAGGTAGAGGGGCTGAGCTTGCTCAGACCTAGGAGGGAGTTCTGTTCCTGCTGGAGGTCCAGTTTGGCAGGAAAGGGGCACCCGGTGTACCCCCCGTTTTCTTTACAGAACTCCAGGAATCTGTGGGCACAGAATGTTGGCACATGGAGCTGTGCGGGCCTGGCTGCAGAGGCTAGAGCCAAGCCTAGGTCAGCACGGAAGAGTTGCTCAGCCTCTGAAGGTAAGCTCTCTTACAGTGACAACGACAGTGGAATATCCATTATGAAGACGAACAGATCTGAGGCCTAGTGGAGCCACAAGCAGTTGCTTAATAGAGACACACCTGCCCTAGGCTGGGCTTGAGGCCACCAAGAGGGATTACAGGGTGGGAATGCTCACGTTTTCCAGTCAGGGTCCTGGCCCAGGAGAAGGGGGTTGCCCACTACGATGAGCAGAGCCTTGGCCCGGGTCACTGCTACGTTGAACCTCTGAAAGAACAGGTGCTGGGTCATAGGAGAGAAGGGCTCTGAAGAAGGAAGAATTCCTGCCACCCACCAACCAGCCCTCAAACCTTGGGGTTCTTAAGAAAACCCAGGTTAAAGTCCAGATCCAGCTGTACAAAGCCCTGGCTGCTTCTCACGGTGGAGATGAGGACGACGCTTCGTTCTTGCCCTTGGAATTCTTCCACGGAGCCCACCTAGATCAGAGAGAGGCAGGGCCTAAGACCAGGTGGAGCCAAGGGGAAGCATAGGAGCCATAAGGAGGGTAGAGAGTAGTCACTAGGCAACTGTAGATAGTGTGGGGACCAGGGGACCAGGAAAAGAGGACAAGATTGTGCTGTGGAAGCCAAAACCTGAAGGATGAAGCCAGTTCTGGGGTGAGGTCTGGAAGAGGTATGAAGCAGTGTTTCTGGAATTCTCCTGAAAATAATCACTAGGTACTTGCTAGGACTGTACAGCCCGGGTCCTAACCCAGACCACCTGAGCAGAATTTCCAAGGGGAGCCCTCAAAATTGTAAAGCAGAGGCTTTCAACCCTGGCTGCACCCCAGATCACCTGAGGCGCTGTAAAAAACACCGGTGCCCTGGCTCTGCCCTGGGAGAGCTGTGTTAATTGCCCGGGTGGGGCGCTGGCAGATTGAAAGCTCTCCAGGTGATTTTTATCCACAGCTAGTGTTGCGAACCACAAAGCTACTGAGGGTGGGGGGGTGGGGTGGCAGTGTCACATGACAGGCCAGGGTCAGCTGTGGAGTTTGGACTTCATCCTTAGGGCACGGGCCTCCAACCTGCCTTATGGTAAGAATGACGTGAGCGTTTGTTAAACACAGGCTCCCTGACCCCATCCCTCCCCTCCCTGCTTGGGGATAGTCCCAGTTTCATCTCAAACCAGTGGGGTGGGGCAGGGAGGGACACAGATCTGTGGAAGGAAGGAGAACACAGAAGGCAGGGGGTGAATGTGGACCGGAGTGTCACCTTCAAGTCTTTGATATCATCCAGTCCTCGCAGCTCCCTGTCAAGTTTGGTAATACAGTGGCGGATTTTTTCCACCTGGAGGGAGAGGAAAGGTGCCTTTCTGTCTCCTGCCCTCACCCCAAATGAGGAGGCCCAGGAGGTTGGCCAGCTGACCTCTGTGGGGAGGCCCCCCCAAGGCTGGGAACGGAGGGCCTGACCTGCTTCCGGTATGGGGAGATGACACCCACACTTCGAGGGCTCAGGCGGGCTTTGCCCTTCTTGGAGGAAGGGGCCAGGAGCAGTTTCAGGTAGGAAGTCACCGTGGCAGCCTCTTCGGGGTTGAAGAAAGATGGGCTGTTGCCCTCACGTTCATCTTTGCCCATTACGCCATGAAAGATGATGGGAAAGCCCTGGATGTGGGTCAGGGGAAGCCCTCAGGCAGACTGGACCTCCCTGCCTCCCCTCCTGCACCCCCAAACCCCTCCAGGGAAGAAGGTGATAAAGGAAGGGCCCATGGTGTCCACTCCGAGCCTCCTCCTGCCTTGTGCCTTCAGGAGGCAAGTCACGACCAGGGCTGGGAAACTGAGCCTGCCCTGCTCAGCCTCACCTGGCAAGGCAGACCCTCCCAGCGGCAGAAGCGCTCTCGATCCACCACGTCTGCACAGGCCTGCAGCTCCCTGTCGTAGTACAGCTTGTTAGGAATGTCCAGGATGGTGGGATGAGACCTAGGAGGCAGGAGGAGGAAGGAGGAGCAAGATCAAGGGCTGGGTCACTTTTGTCCCACTGGAGGATCCCTGCTCCACCAGCCCTGGGTCTCTCCACATACATCCTGCCTCCCTCCCGCTCCTGGCACACGATACTTTCATTCCCAGTGTCTACTGCCAGGCACTGCAAACCAGAGAGCAGACCCCAAGCTGGTTCCACCTGGCATCTAGTCTGGGAATTTTGCTGAGCAAATTACTTTCAAAATCCAAGAAATTAGGACCCATTTTTAGGTTTCTATTTGCCAAGCAAAGACAGTACAAACATGATTATCTTTTTATCTTTCATCACCATTGGATGAGATGTGTTAGAAACTCCCAAGTAGGAGTAATGGCAGAATAACATTTATTGAACTCAGCGACAGTCTAAGCACTTTATTTATTTTTTGGGTAGTGCTGGGGTTTTAACTTGGGACCCCAAGCTTGCTAGACAGGCCACTCTCCCACTTAATTCATGACCCCAGCCCTTTTTTGCTTTTTAGGTATTCTTTAGGTAGAGTCTTGGGTTTTTGCCCAGGGCTGGCCTCTGACCTCCTACCACACCACAGGTGTGCACCACTGTGTTATTAATTAAGATGGGGCCTCCCTAACTTTTTGTCTGGGCTGGCCTTGAATTACAATCCTCCCCATTTCTGCCTCCTGAGTGGTGGGGATTATAGGTGTGAGCCATCTCTCTGGGTTCATCTAAGCAGTTCTTTTTTGCGGGGGGTGGATACTGGGATTTGAACTCAGGGCCTCATTATTGCTAAGGCAGATGCTCTACCACTTGAGCCATTCTGCCAGCCCTTACTTGTGTTCAGTATTTTTGAGATAGGATCTTTTGAACTATTTGCCCGGGCTTGGCTTTGAATTGTGATCCTCCTAATCTCTGCCTCCTGAGTAGCTAGGATTACAGGTGTGAGCCACCCATGCCCAGCTTCATCTAATTTTTTTGATGTCTGAACTCCTTTGTTAAGAAGTATACAAAAAATAAAAAAGAGTACAAAAAAAGAAAAAAGTATACAAGATGGGTGTAGTGGCATACACCTATATTTCCAGCTACTTAGGAGGCTGAGGAAGGAGGATTTCTTGAGCCCAGCCTGCTATTTAAAAGAGACCCTGTCTCAAAAAAAAAAAAGAAAGGGGGAGGGGATACTTAGGGATACAGCTCAATGGAAGAGCTTGCTTAGCATGAGCAAGGCTCTAAGCTTGATCCCCAGCACGGCAAAAAAAAGAAGTATATTGTTCACAGTTGGATACTTGATTTATGAATTTATGAAAAACTGTATGGCCCAGGATGAAACCTTGCTGGGTCGCATTGATGACAGGTAGCTATCTATGATTGGACCAGAAAGGAGGCCTCTTACCTTCCAGTACACAGTCTTTGTGAACCACACAGCCTGAGCCCCCAACTGGGCTGCTGGGAGGGTGTGAGGGCACGGGACAGTGGCAGGGGAGGGGCAGGCATACCTGTAGTTGCGTAGCAGTTTGGTAATGAACTGGGGGTCATAGCCGTTGGGGCCCTTCTTGTACAGGGTGTTATAGGTAAGCAGTCGCTCCAGCAGTGAGTACCCCAAGCCATGCTTCTGTGCCAATGGGGACCGCAGCACAGGCCCCAGCTGCCGAGGGTCTCCTGCCAGCACCAGCTGCCCTCCTGGGTTGCCTGTTTCCTTGACTTCCATCAATCCTGGGGGGCAGAGGTGACGTGGGGAGAGAGGTTAAGTGGTAAGATGGAATCTCCCTGACCCCACACAGGGTGGCACACTTGCAACCCATCCTGAGCCCTTACCTGCTATGGCCACCAAACTCTCAGGCTCCATGCAGTGGCCAGCTTCATCGATGAAGATGTGTGTGAAGTGATCGATAGGAAACTGGGCAGACACCAGCCTGGGAGGTGTCAGACCAGGCAGAGGTTGTTCCCAGGCTGAATGCTCACCCACGCTGGCTCTTCCCTTCAGCCCCCAACAACCTTTCTCCATCTCCCTAGCCCCGCACCCCTTTACTTATACACAGACACACACACTCTCCCCACCTGCTGGCAGTGATGAGGGTGGTAATTAAGACCCGATATCCCTGCAGCTGCTTCTTGGCGGGAAACACATATTCTCCCTTCTTAGCATCCCAGTTACAGCAGGGCTGTGGATGATGGAGGTTCACAGGAATCAGCTTGGCTCTACCCAGTCTCACCCCCACAATTGATTTACTCACTTTACACACAAAGAAACTAAGGCCCAGAGTAGGGTCCTGACCCACCAACATAACACGGCAAGTGTCCAGGTCTCTTGAGTTTCCCAGCCCCAGTGTCTGTCCTGAGCTGCCTCCCAGGCATCTGTCAATCCTTGGCCCAATGCCCTTCCCTAAGTACCTTAATGTCCTCGGGCACCATGCGGATATCCCTGCTGGGGGCCAGGAGGCGGTAGATGGAGCTGGGCAGGTGGACACGGAGCCGCTGGCAGAGGAGGTCAGCCCCAGAGTTGGATGGAGCGCAGGCCAGGATGTGCGCTTTAGGCAAGTGCTTCACCACCTGAAGTGCAGATAAGCACATATGGGAAGCAGTTTCTTGAGACTCTGTGGGGGACTTAGGCTGGGGAGTGCAGCACTTGTCTCCCATAGCTGAGGGAGGCACTGACATAAAAGGCAAGTTGTCATTCCTAGGCCCCTGCTAGTCCAAATAGCATTGAATGCTGGATGACTGTTGCAGGAAATATACAGGTCTGTGATGACTGATTTGTGAATGGTGACTCCATGAGTGACGCAGTGCACAGCCTGCACAACGGAACTCAGTGGCGACGGAGGGTGAGGCAGGAACATTCAGGGAGCTGGAGGGAATCAAAACCTGGGAACAAATGCTTGAGGCCTGGAAAGCAGGCCCTAGGTTTGTGTTCAAGCCTCACCTGCTTAATGGCCTCCACTAATGTGACAGTCTTGCCGGTACCTGGAGGCCCAAAGATAATGTAGGGGGCTGGCCGGGTGGTGCCCAAAACAATGTGCTTCATGGCCTGTAGCTGCTCTGGGTTCGATTCCAGACTCCGATCGTACAGCCTGGCAGAGGGGCCATTAACTTCAAGTCATCCAGCATCACAGGCCTCTGTGACTCCATTCCCTTCACCCACACTCCAAGGAGCCCTGGAGCCCCTGCCCCATCTCACTTGAGCTTCACATCAGGGGGCAGCAGCGGGACCCCACGGGAGGCCACAGGAAAAAGCATGGGCCACAGTGGCCAACGCCCTGTCAGCTCCAGGGCCCGGTGCTGGACCCGCAGAGGCTGGCGGTTGAATGTGAAGTTCACTTTGAAGGTCAGCCCATCCACAAAGCGGCTCAGGAGGCTTTGGGCGGGAAGAAAGGCAAAGAATTCCAATTAGATGGGATGCGCAGTAAAAACCAGAACGCTCTCCACCTCCCACTCCTCCACCCCTCTTCTCAAGACCACCATGCAAAGCTTTCTAGGAGAGACAGCTGCCAGGCAGCTCAGGTGCCCTGAAGAAAAGACTCCTGTCCTGTGCCCAGGTCCCCCATCTAGAGAAGGAACACCAATCCCCTAGCTTTTGAGAGAAGCTGGAAGACTTCCCAGAACCCACCTATTAGAAAAACTCAGCTTGACACGGTCCAGTTCCACCTTGTGCACAAAGCCCTTGTAGGTGACAGAGTCTTCCTGGTGTGTCTCAGAGGACAAAAGGGCAAACAGGTGGTCACCCCGCAGTACTGAGGGGCGGCTCTCAGTCACCCCAGGAACCTGCAGGTGTGAAAAGAAGGAAGCTTCTATACCAGGGATGGCCACAGGTTCTCCAGACCTGAGGGATGAGGACGAGGCTCTGGGCCAAGATTCGCAGAACTATACTGTTTCCGGACTCCTTCCTCTTCTACTGAACAGGGCAAGAGTTGGGGAAGAGGAAGTTGGCCAATCTTTCCGGGCTGCTCACAGGTGCCCAGCCCAGGAACCCAGACCCTCTAGGGAGGCCTCCAGGGCCTGGCAGCCAGCTTCTCAGTCCATCCAGCTGTTGCCCTCCTGGCCAGCTCAGTTCTCACTCTGCCTTTGCAATTTCACTAAAAACTCACTTCCTGCAGTAACCTTTCCTTGATCAGCCTTGCTCTCTCCCTTCCTACCTGCACTCGTGTGCAGAAATCCACTCCTATGATTTCCACTCTTATGAGTAATTCTGTGTGTATACTCCAAATGTGCGCATCAGAAAGGGCTCTAGGAATTCTCCACTCCAGCTCTGTGCTTCTCACGTAAAGGATGGAAGGCTCAGAGAAAGCAAGGTCTCACCCGAGGTCTCACAGCTGGAGATAGCGATGTTTGCCTAAAATACCATTGCCCTCCCCTTCGGCCTCTTAGGCACAGAAACCACTCATCCTTGTTTTAGGTTCACCCTGCTGTCAGGAATCACATCCTGCTGCAGCCTAACGTTGGCTGACTTGGGCCCACCCTTGCCACACCAGATCCCACCCCTGACCTCCAGTGTGAGCAGCCTAGGGTTCTGGTCCACGGGATCCCAAGTCATGGGCACCGACTCCAGGTCATAGTGCCTGATGTCACGCTCCATCTGCAGCTCCTCCAGGTGCAGCAGCAGCTGGAGCTTCACTTCATAGTTCTTCCACTTCAGGGCTGTCTCCAGCTGGGCCCTGGCAGTGATGGTTGGGGAGTGGGGTGGGGGCAGGAACAGGGCGGGTCAGGCAACCCCCATGCCCAGAGCTCCACCCTCTCCCATCTGAGGCTCTGGAAGCCTCAGGGAGCAGGGAAGACTAGATGGGCAGAGAAGCAGATAGGAGCCAGAAGCTTCTGTCTCACTTCCCAAGCTGCCCCCGCCCCCACCTCAGACCCAACTAGACATGTGCACTGTGGTTCTTCCCCAGATCCTCCTATGACGCACACCCTTACCTCATTTGAATGTCATTTCCTCCTCAAAGAGGCCAGGACTAATTGCCTGCTGTAAAACATGCCCTTATCCTGCTTTGATTTTAGTTTCATGTTAGTTTAGCTCTTCATAGCACTCATCGCTCAGTGAAATTACAAGATAAAAATGTTTCTAGGAAATTATAAGTGCTCACTGTTCTCCACTAGAATGGGTAAGGCCCTGTGGATTGGCTCACCTTGAACAGGGCTCACACACAGAGCATGCTCAGTGAGGGATGAAGGATCAGAGCCTGGGAGGCTGAGGAGCTAAGGGGCAGTAAGGAGGAGAGAGAGGGGAGGGGGGACTGTGGGTGTCAAGGGGTGGCACTTACTTGATCTCAGCAACCTCCTTAGGTGCAGTGAAGACATTTGCTCCCTGAAGGATGGAGAGCAGTTGCCTGAGGCGGGGTGATGGGTAGTAGGCTCCTAGTGCCAAACTTAGCTCCAGGTCATAGCCCTTAGCACTGTGGGCGGGGAGGAGGAAAGCTGTCACAAACATGGAAATCCCTCATCTTCAGAGACTCTGAGAATGCCCTCCATGAGCGTGCACAAGGCCCTTCTATGATGTGATCACTGAAGGGCAGGCAGTCAGCTGTCTCTACCCAAGGATGCAGAGCTCTCTAGCTCATGGGGCTGCTAAATACCAGTTTGGTCCATTTTCATTTTTGCAAAGACCGATACTTGGAACATTATAAAAAAAAAAAATCTGAGCTTGGCATCAGTGGCTCACGCCTATCTTTCTAGGTACTTGGGAGGCTGAGGTGGGAGGATCAAGGTTAAAGGCCAACCAGGACGATAGTTCAAGAGATCCAGTCTCCAAAACAACCAGAGCAAAGTGGACTGGAGATGTGGCTCAAGTGATAGAGTGCCTGGTTTGCAAGTGCAAAGCCCTGAGTTCAAGCCCCAGTCCCACCAATATACATTTACATAGATAGATATATTCAGGAACCATCCAAGGACAACCAACACTAACTTTTTGGTATATACACTTTCTTCTTTGTAATTTTGGCTTTGTTTTTGGTTGTTGTTGTTGATGCTGATGATCGAACCCAGGACCTCATGCATGCTGTAAATATATATTGTTATATATGTATATATAAATATAATATATATTGTTAACAAAAGGAGCAGGATGCTCTAACTGTGAAAGTCTTATTTACACAGTTTCAATTTATAACTAAGTATTTTTGCAAACATCTAGCTATATTGAAAAGATGTCTACATGAAGCCAGGTTCTGGTGTTTCACACCTGTAATCCTAGTTACTTGGGAGGCTGAGGTGGGAGGATCGTGGTTTGGTTTGAGGCCTGCCGGGGAAACAAAGCTGGAGAATCCCCCATCTCCAAAACTAATCAAAGCAAAATGGACTGGAGGTGTGGTTCAAGTGGTAGCCTGAGTTCAAACCCCAATCCTCCCACCAATGTCTACATATATTATGAGAAGGTAGGGTGATAAAAGGGTGTTAGCTAAGATGTTTAAGGTAATGAAATGTTCTAAAATTGACAGTAATGATGGTTGCACATGTCTGTGAATATTCAAAAAAAAATCTATGAATAATCTAAATAAAGCTGTTTTTCAAAAGGGCTGGGGGTCACGGTTCGAGTGGTATGGCACCTGCCTAGCATGTATCAAACGCTGGCTTCAATTCTCAGCACCTGTTGAGCATGTATAAGACCCTGGGTTCAATTACCAGTACTGCAAACAAACAAACAAAAAAATTAAAAATAAAATCAACCATAATTCTTACAAAGCATGGCATGGTGCATGCCTGTAATCCCAGCTACTTGGAAGGCTGAGACAGGAAGATCTCAAGTTCGATGCTCGCCTGGGCAAAGTTAGTGAAACCTTGTTCCAAAAAAGAAATAAAACCAAAAAGGCTGGGTGGCATGTCTCAAGTGTTAGAAGTGCTTGCTTAACAGGAGAGAGAGAGAGAGAGAGAGAGAGAGAGAGAGAGAAAGGAAGGAAGGCGATGGGGGAAAGGAAGGAAGGAAGAAACAGCAGGCTGAAGAGTGTGAGGGCCCACCCTTGTGGTCAGGATGTGCCCAGCCCAGACAGTGTTGGGGGGAGTAATACCGGTCGGGTCTCTCTCCTTCCTCTATGCGGTTGGACATTACAGGGTTTCTAGTGATCCGGACACGCTTGTAGGGAGTTGTGGGCTTCAGCTGTGCAGCCAGGGGGCTGTGGGCAACGGCAGCCAAGAAGCGGGCAATGTAGAAAGTTCCAGCTTCTTCTGGTCCCGACTCCCCAGGTCCCAGCAGCTCCCAGAGCACAGTGGCTGGGAAGTAGCCCACAAAGCTGGTCTTACAGTGGACATGGAGCTCATAGCATTCACCTGGCAGAGGATGGCTGAGTGAACGGCGTGAGGTAGGGATCTGCTTCAGGATCCCTCCCATCCCAAGGCCCACTGAACAGTGACAACATGCTTTCCAAGGCCCCAGCCTGCCCGGTGCAAGCCCTTGTCCTCAGAGGCTCTTCACTAACCTGGACCCAGTGGACAGGGCAGCTCCTGGTCACCATTGTAGAAGGCAAACTGGGGTGTCCAGCAGAGTGGGAAGAGGTGAGTGAGAGTAACAGGCTTGGTCCCTCCATTCCGGAGCTTCAGGGTCAGCACCTCCTTTCGGTTCAAATCCAGGCGGATAAGGAGCTGCCCATCTCGGGCTTCATGGGGCCCCTGGACTTCCACGTCCACCCCATGCTTCCCATGAAGATACTCAGCCCTGGGGAGAGTGGGAATCAAGCGGGGGATGGGGCTGGAGGGGCCTGGACTGGGGGTTGCCCCGGGGAAAGTTTTAGCATTAGGAGACTGACAAGGTGCCAGAGCTGTGCTCAAGTGACCTTCCCCCACCCCACCAATTTCCTGCCACTCCCTGAGGGAGCAGGGTTTACCACAACCTGAGGCAGCCCACTGTTTCCTCTGCCACCAGCCCCCCCCATGCTATCCCACCTACACACACACACACACACACACACACACACACACACGTGCGTGCACACACCTGTCATAAAAGATCTTGGCTAGCAGTGACTTGTGCTGTTTGCTGATATCTGATCCCAGTTTCATTGGTCTCTTCTTTTCTGGGAGCTGCACACTGACCCAGGGGTCCAGACTGAAGAACCTGACCCGAGTCTTGGTGACGTAAGCCAGATTTGCAATCTTCATTCCATACAGCATGGAGGAGAAGCCAGGGGCAGGAGTTCCAAAGCTGCCAGAAGCAGAGGAGACTGGGAAGTGAGGGAGGCAGGGTAGCGTAGGGGGAGTGTGTAGGGTAGGGATAGGGCGGGGAGAGCCTCTGAGAGTCACTCTGTGCTGGACACATCACAGCCCTGGGCTCAGAGACAGAGACTCAGGGTGGGGATGGCCGGAATTTCTTCTGTCTTAAGGCAAGGCAGTGGGACCTTCCAGGGCAAAATGTCAGTGGCTTAATCACCAGGTTGTGGATTGCATACTTCTGGGCTGTTGGTTGGGAAGAATAAGGGAAGAGACAGAAAGAAACAAGTATTTTTAAGGGGGGGGAGGAGCTATTGGGGATACAAAAAAGACAACAACAAAAAAAAAAAACCCAATCCACTCAATGGAAAGAGCTGAGGCCAAGGGGAAGCTGAATGAGTTGACTTAGCAACGGACAGGGGCCAGTCTGAGCGGTGGAGTGGGAAGGGGTCAGAGACAGTAGAGATGTCCAGAGTGTGGGCTAGGTGGCTGATCAGACAGCAGTTTCCACTGGAAGTCAAAGGGTGCAGGTGGAACCCAAGCAGGAAGGGAAAGGATCCTTCTCCAGAGATCAAATAGCCTGGCTTTGTCCCTAGAGAGGTGAAGACAGGGAAAACTGGTCAGCAGGACAATAACCTCAAGGTCCAGTGCCTGGAATTTGGTTTAGTCAACTCAACAAACACTTACAGAGGCCTGTTAGGTGCCAGACAGTGCACTAGAGTCTTGGGGGTGGGGGTGGGGGAAGGGGTCCAAGAAGCGAGACCCAGACCCTGCTTGAGGAGGACTTGCATTGAACACATAAATTCCAGTGTGGGGACTGCAGTGCAGCCATTGAAGCTCTTCTGGGCAGCTCTTTAGGCCAGGCTGGATCACTGAGTCCAGCAGAGCAGGACTGGCCTTCAGAGGATCAAGGACACTACCATGCCAGAGAGAATACAGGGTGAACAAAGGTGAGATGTACACACCAAATGGGCTCCACCACTTCAGCTTCGGGTCACTGGTCACTATGCCCCTCTGAGGGTTACTTTCCTCCTCTACAGGAAGGGACAGGCTGGACCTGGGGAAGGATGGCGCTCAGTGGTAGAGCACTTACTTAGCATTTTTGAGGTCCAGGATTGAACTGAAGCCTCAGCACCACAAAAATAAACAAATAAATAAGTAAAATGGTGACAAGGAGACTTGCCTTAAAGGGTTCCTGTGAAGCTTACATGAGACACTGGGATTGTAACCCACTAAGCCCAGGCCTGACACATAGGAGACCTCGGTAAGGGTGAGCGATGATTAGTGTATCACGTACAGTTTGGCTGGATTAGAGTGAAAGGTACAAAGAAAGGAGTGGCAGGAGGTGGCAGAGGTGGGCAGGGACCAAATTCGACATGGTTTTGTATGCCTTGAACTCACCCTTGGCCACTGGCACCAAGTTCTTCACTTCCCTTTCCTGGTACCCAGGAGCCTAAGGACACACCCACATGACATACATGATGGGCATGTTCAGGACCTTGGAGAAGTGACATCTTACCCTGATGTTTTGTAGGGAGTTACAGCAAATCTGTGTTCCTAAGAACTATAGCAATCCCTGTTAATTCTTAGGATTAAATCCTCATGGTCACTCACTAGGGACCATGATGAGGTCACTTCCCTGGTGTCCCACCTGAACTCTGCCCCTCTCTTTCACCCCAAGCAAAGGAAAGCAGCACCATTCAGAAAACTTTGAATGGCTATGATTTGTTAAAAAAAAAAATCATAAATCATTTGAAAGCCTAATAGAAAATGTTCAATCAATGTTAGCTCGTATTATTAGTTACTGGTGTTAGTAACAGTGGTACTAATCGTGACGGTAGAAGGAGTAGTATCAACTTACTTTCAGCCCCCGCCAGAGGATACCCTGTGGTTACAGTACCACTGTAGTTGGTGGGTTTTAAGCAGGGGAGTGCCAAGATCATATGTGCATGTCAGATCACTCTGGCATCAGGATTGGAGGATGGATTTGCTGGAGGCAGGACTGTAGGCAGGGAGACCAGTTAGAAGAAGGCCATTGCAACTGTCTGGTTAAAAGATACCAAAGGCCTGGATAAGACAGTGATAGAAAAAGAAGTACCAGATCTGAACACACTCAGAACATAAACAGCAGAACTTGGTGACTGACAGGAAGGAGAACGGAGGATGGGAAGAGGGAGGGACTCTAGGATACCCTAGAAATCAATGGCTTGACTTCTGGGAGTATCCCTGAGATAAGAGGTAAAGACAGGAGGTGGGGAAGGTGGATGGAAGGACTGGGACAGGTGGATTTGTGTATGCTGGGTTTGAGATTCCTGTGGTCCAAAGGCAGCTCTGGCTCTTTGAGTCACAAGCTGAGAACTCAGGCCAAAGTTGAGGTGCAAGTCTAATGTTAGGGAGTCCTTAGGCGGGAGTTATAACCCAGGGAGTGTTTGAGATCTCACCAATAGTCTGAGAACAGTTGAGGCCAGGACAACCCAGGAAGGAAGGGAAAATAGAGAACCCCTCAAGAGAGGGAGCAGAATCAGGATCAAATGCTGCCAAGGGCTCTAGGACAAAGGGACTGACATCCAGAAGTTGGCACTGACTTTCACCAGGACTCCGTCAGTCTTTCGGGCACGGAGTCCCATGGCCTGAAGCACAGGCTCATATGCCTACAAAGCCAGGTTGCCCAGCTATCTTTATATGCCTCTCTCTCAGACAGCTGTTCAGTCCCCTTGTGGAGTTGTTGGTATAAGAATGACGGGTTCCGTTCCTCATAATTAGGCCCTAACAAAAGAAAAGTGCAGGAACCTTAAAAAGTTGTTATAGCAAGGTGCTGGTGGCTCATGTCTATAATCCTAGCTACTTAGGAGGCTGAGATAGAGAGGATCAATGTTTGAGGCCAGCCGGGGCAGTAAGTTCATGAGATGACATCTCCAAATAACCAAGGCAAAATGGACTAGAGGCGTGGCTCAAGCAGTATAGTGCCAGCTTTGCAAGTGTTCAAATCCCACTCCCCCTACCCACCCACCTGAAAAAAAAGTGACTGTAGGCACAATTCTTCATCCCCAGTCAGATGAGAACCCAGGCCCAAGACCACCAGAGCTTCTGGTTTTTAAGAAAAGCCAAAAATCAATTTTTTTTTATTTTTGGAAAATTTCTATTGTTTGGAAACTCCTGCACATCACATGGGTGGACAAAACTCATCTCTGCAAATATTGAAACTTCTGTGGATGCTACCCCCCCTAAATATTTCTCAAATGCTTGTCTTTCATTGCTACCCAGACTCATCTACCTCTAGTCTAAGGTGACAGTCATAAAAAATTTTTTAAATCTCAAACTTAATACATTATCTTTAAGAAAAAAAAAAGCTCCAATAGTTGTGTTATATACATCTAGTCACCTAGATTTCTAGGGAAAATTTCTATCAATGTCTGAAAATTTGGAGTTACAAAAGGCAAAAACAAACTAAAATGGTTTTCTGTTGTCAATGTTTTGTTTTATGGGTTTTTTGGTGGTACTGAGGTTTGAACTCAACCCAGTGCTTGCTAGGCAGGTGCTCTACCACTTGAGTCACACCCCTACCCTAAAAAAAATGTTGACATTTTTATTATTAAAAAAAAATTTGTATGGAAAAAGCTAATATAAACAAATTCAACAGATAAACACCAAAAAAATACTTAAAATGCAGGTGACAGATAAGGATTAATTTTTAATATACAAATGTTCTCATAATTTGTAAAGATGTGCTGGGTGAGGTGGCTCATGCCTGCAAACTTAGCTATTCAGGAGGCAGAGATCTGGAGGATAGAGATGTAAGCATTAACAGGGGAACAGAGGACAGGGCAGGCCTGGGCATAAGTGGGAGATCATACTTGAATAAAAACTAAAGTAAAAACTGTTGAGGAGGGGCTGTGTGTAAGGGCTGACAGAGTGGCTCAAGTGGTTAAAGGGCCTACCTAGCAAGCAGGAGGAGTTCAAACCCGTCTGCAAAAAAAAAAAAAAAAAAAAAAGAATTTGAGGAAAAAAATCCAAATGACCAAACGAGAATGAAAAACTGTCCCAAGCTGGGCGTGGTGGTGCAGGCCTCTAATCCCATCACATGGGAGGCTGAGGCAGGGAGATTGTGAATTCCAAGCTAGCCTGGGTTCTAACAGTGAGACCCTGTCTCAAAAAAGCAAGAACGGGTAGTATAGCTCAGCAGTAGAGTGCTTTCTTTGCCTAGCATGCACAAGGCCTTGTGTTCAGTCCCCAGCACTGAAAAAAAAACCAAACCAACCAACCAAACAAACAAAAAACTATCCCAATGTAGAGAAATGCAAATTTAAAAAGTGAGATATCATTTTATTCCTGTGAGACTGCCAAAAATGAAAACTAGTTCTACCGTGTATTGCTATTATGAATATTTGGAAAAATGAACTCTCATAAATTGCTGTCAGAAAGGTGAACTATTACAACTTTTGTGGAAGACAATTTGGCAACATCTGCAGACCCTGAAAATACAGGTATCCTCAAGTGTGTGTCTACACTCCCAGCTTCTCCACAGGCTAAGGCTGGAAGATTGCTTGAGTGGAGTTTGAGTTCAGCTTTGGCTACACAACGAGACCCTATAAATAAAATAAAATATAGGTATCCTAATATAAAACTAAATGAAAGACAGGAAAAAAAAATCAAAATAGAGGCATTCTTTAAAAACTAGGACTCCCATTCTGGACATGAAGTCTATGGAAAGAAAAGTGTAATGTGTAAGGACCAAGTGCAAGGAGGCTTACTGCAGCATTTACAATTATTTTTAAAACGGGAAGTAAAACGGATCAGCTGGGTGCCCGTGGCCCATGCCTGTAATTGTAGCTACTTAGGAGGCTGAGATCTGGAGGATTGCAGTTTGAGGTCAACCTGAGCAAATAGTTCTTGAGATTCCATCTCTAAAGTAACCAAAGCAAAATGGACTGGAGGTGAGACTCAAGCAATAAAGCTCCTGCTTTGCAAGCAGAAAGTCCTGAGTTCAAAACCCAG